CCCCCCCCCCCCCCCCCCCCCAAAAAAAAAAAACGCACAAAAACAATTCGCTTTACAATATGGATTCATAAATTAATATCGAGAAAATTCTATGCTGAAAAGCATATCAAGAAATCCCAACAGATTTCCAAATGCAAGGATATCTATGACCTTATAACTGCACTGGCGCCGTCAAAATTATAGTCAAGCCACAATATATTTGCACGCAAGTAAAAATTTATAGTCAATTTGGGGATAAACTACAGTAAATAAAAAACTTAATTAAAGGATTTAAACATTTCTTTATATCGGTATATCCACACCGAAACAGTGCGTACTGGAGAATAAATGAAAAACTATTTGAAAAAGCGAGTCGATTATTAGAATTACTGGTCTTAGAACAAGAAATAAAAATTACACTATACACAAACGTAAATCGGTATCAGACTCAATGCTTTATGATCGGACATGTACCAGTAAGAGACTGGAAGCAGTGGAGATCAAAAGTGTCGGCTTCGAGGAGTTCGATCCCGGAACACCCCGAGATCGGCGATAACTGCTGAGAAATTGCGTGCATAGAATGCCACAAACTCGCTAACCTCAAGGTATCGTTGGTGTCCATCCTTCCCGCAGAGCCATAATCCTAGCATTTTAGGTTTTGTTTACAGTTTTTTTCACTCATAAAATGCAATCAAAATACGGCTGGTTAAGTACGTTGAACGGAAAATAGTTTCCGAGGAAACAAACAGTGGCTATGTAGAACATACGTTCAAGAGTGAATGGAGAAAGACAGTGGAGATTTACCTTGTAGAAAATGAGACCGCCGGATTTGTTGATGATGTAGAGGCTGTAAATCGCGGCCATTTTTGAGGTTTTTTTTTTTGTAATCTGAATTGAAGTAGCAATAAAACACCAATCGAAACCCTAGTTCTTCCTGGATTTCCTCTGATCTGATGATGCTGCTTTGTGTCGATGCTTATTGTAATTTGATTTTAGAGTAAATTATGATTGGGTCTTCAACTATATAAGGTGACCTTATGTCAATTAAACCATCATTTTTTATTTTTTTTAGTCAATTAAATTCCTAAACTATCTAACTATTTCAATCAAACTCTTATGTTAAGTTTTTAACGAAAGGGTGCTGAGTGTGCTTAGGGGCGTTTTAGGCAACCCAACATGAGTAAATTACATATTTAATCTTCAAATTATAACTCTTATTTCAATAAAATTCTTAAACATTATAAATGATTGACCTTTTGTTTGTGAATCTCGAAGAACAACTCTTAGACCAAAAACTTAGCCCACCATATAAAACTTCTATGAGTCTCTATTGTTCGTACAATTTCAATTAGCAACAACTAGTCAATGTAGTGATTAATACGTGATGCAAATGATATCCTGCATCTGGGTGATGCATCAGATGTACCATAAGTGCTCTATGTAGTTTAGGTTTTGTATTTTTTGTGTACTTGAACACATACACCATTGATGCAGATGATGTCTTGCATCCAGATCAAATGAACTATAAATGCTTTATTTAGTTTAGGTTATGTATTTTTTGTGTTTTTGAATACATACACCACTAATGAGTTGTTGTTGATCGAAATTGTATGAACAATAGAGAGTTACAGACGCTTCATGTTGTGGATTAGGTTTTGGTCTGAGAGTTGCTCTTTGAGATTCACAGATGAAAGGCCACTCATCTACAATGTTCAAGGCTTAATTGACACAAATGTTCATAGTTTGAGGGATAAATGTTCATAGTTTAAGGGACAAATATGTAATTTACTCAGGTCATTAATGAGGTTGCCTAAAACAGCCCTGAAGAAGGCATGTCACTAGCACACTCCACACCCTTCCGTTAGAAACCCTAACTGAAGGGCTTGATTGAAACAATTAGATAGTTTAGAGATTTAATTACTCAAAAAAAAGTTTAATGACTTTGACACGAGAGTTATAGTTTGAGGATTAAATACATAATTTACTCTTGATTTTATTATAGCACAGAGTGACAACGGCATGATGGGTTTACGTTGAGGCATTGATCGTTGGACTCAAATCCTCTTCTGTTTACGTAGGATTCGGCCTACGAATCAAGGCCCAGCCTTGCTTCAGCCATGACCATATCCAGGATAGACAATAGAGCAACACCATGGCCAAGTTGTTAAGTCATGGGCTGCTCCTTCAAACTAAGTCGAACAAGCAATCCAATAGGTTGGACTGTTCAACGAACTGAGATGGTCGGATTCAGTTTGGTAGCAAGTCAATTTGGCTCATTCAAGTTTGTAATCCAAATATATTTTCACAGTTATAAACTCGTTTCATATGTTAGCAAAGTCCAAGCAATATGTTAGTCAGTCAAGAAATTATTATTGTGCAAGTGGTTTGTAACACAATGGTGAAATAACGACACTTTGATTGGCACTCGAAAGACACCCTCTAGAATGGGAATAACAAAAGTTCGTCACTCACATAAAAAGGTTAGAATGGAAGCTGAAGGTGACTCTGACGATTCTTCTCCGATGCTAAAGTCAGTTTATGTGGAGGGAAGGAGACAATGTAATATTTCCCTCCAGGGGTTATTTCCCCAAGATTTCCCCCAACTCCACCTATGCCCCCCAACTCGAGATTAGGGGACTGTTCATCCTTGGGATGATATTGAACAAGAGAGGAGAGTAAAGGGTCGTAACAACTTGACAATTGGAGTCACTCCTCCTCAGACCCATAACCAACTCCAAGTTGTTCCTTCAACGCACCAGACTCCCATCCCCCAAACGGATCGAGAATGGCATGCTTGGACCACCACAAGGAAAGGCAAGGCGGCAATGACTTCCGACTCCAACCTCGGCTCCTTGGACATTTCTTATGCTGCCAACGACGCCCTACTCTTTTACGCTGACATGGAGTAGCATCAAGACTATTTAGCACTTAATGTTGCATATTTTATAAATTTAACCATTCATTTTATGTGCATAAAATGATGCCTTCTCTCTGAATTTGGGGTTGAATATTGATTAAGGTTATATTTGTGTTTGTAGGTGTGAAATAGGAGATAAAGATTGATGGGAATGCTATGGAAATGTTTAAAGAAGTAAGGAGGTGAAATAAATGACAGGTTGCAGCAAGAATTGAGGGAAAAAGAACTTCAACCAGTTGAACAATCATCTTCAACTAGTTGATAAGGGAATTTTTTAGACATTAGGACCATTCGAGATTTTGAGGTTATTTCAACCGGTTAAACAATCAACTTCAACTGGTTGATCAGAGTTTGACAAAATGTGCAAAAAGTACGAGGAGTACTTCATCCGGTCGGTCACCACATTTCAACGGGTTGATCAGATAAAACCAAGACCAAAACAATATAGTAAGAGTTACTCAACCGGTTCATCAAAGACTTTCAACCAATTGATGAAAAGCGATCAGCCGGTTGAAACTCACTTTCAAAAGGTTGATTCTAAGTTGGTTTTGATAGAAAATTTTCCCACATTCTCATTTGTCGAAGAAGGTTAGCTAAATTTCTTCCTACACTCATGAGGGGTGGCTCCAAACTCCTAGGCAAGCATTCCCATTGAATGATTTTAGTTCCAAAGCTTCAAGGAAGCTTTCCATTAGCCAAGTTGGGCGAACAAAGCTTCTTTGACATTTCACCCATCACCCATGCCACTCTTTTTAGCCAATGAATGGAGAAGAATTGTGATATATATATATATACACATACATACATACATATGCATATATATATACACACACACACACTTTTGTAATTCTTTACATAGGGGAGGAGTACTTTAAAAAAAAATATTCGTAGTTATTTTGCTTAGTTTAGAAGTTAAGTTGTAAACGTCCATTTTCAAAGCTTCATCGAGTTTCAGAGAAGACAACTGTTGTGTCCATTTCAAAGTTGTGTTATCTTTGTATTTGAGCTTAGGAATTGAGAAACAATCATAGTGTAAGCATTTCTCTTTAAAATATTTGTTCTTTTACATATGTCTTCTATGTTGTTTATTATCGAATTTGGAATTATGAGCTTTGCTTCCAGCTAAGTTTCAGTGCGATCCAATGGATGATTCTCATCCATAATCAAGCATGATGATTCTATAATGGTTTCAAACATATAAAATATTTTTTAGAAGGGAAAAATAAATTTTGAGCATTAGTTGTTAAGTGACTACTTTGATTTCTCGTTGGCGGTTGATCCGGTACGAGTAATGCTTTGAAATCATTTACACAATCTAAATGCTTATCATTCTAGTTTCTATTTCCTACCTTCAAAGTTACAATAGTTTACGACTTGATTTTTGATTGAATATTATCTGTTTGAGCATGTTTGATTACAATCTCGAACAAGTTAAAACGAAGAGTCAAAATATTTGGTTCTGGTGGGTTGATTTATAAGGATTGGCCGACTGTTTTTCTATTGATTACTGTGAAATCTGGGAAAATTTGAATTTTTTCCGACAAAGGGCAAAATGATAATTTGTCACTACTAAGCGGGTTTAAAATACGTATTTTTATAGAGCTCAGATGGAGCAGCGGACTTCACTGTTGGATTCGTATCGCGAAATTGAATTACCACTTCAAATTTCGTCGAATTTCGAGATAGTCAGATTTTGTACGTTTTTCGAGACAATGAGGTGACGAATGAACTTTTAAACGTCCCCAAAAATAAAAATTATAAATTTTTTTTATAATTGAATAAAAGTTCAAATAAAAATTATTTGAATTGAAATCGAAATTTAATTAAGTCATTTCAGGTTAAAAACGAACCCGAAAGTGATAAACGAGTGGGATAATGTGTACCGCGCAATTAAAAGCATAAATAGGGGCAAAAATATCTGAAAATTAGATATTCTCCCCACCTGCTCAGTACACCACACGTGGGAAGAGAGAAAAGAGGGAAAACAAACATCTCAAGTTTTTCTCCTTCGACTCCTGGAGTTCCGCCGGTCGAAATCCGTCGATCAAAGAATTAAAGTTTGTCTACGCGACGAGAGCTACGCGTACGTACCAAGAATGAAGATTTGACCGAAGATCCAAAAGGGGAGACTTGTGAAATCAAGGCTTTTGGGGCTTTGGGAGCTTCTATCTTCTATTTCAAGCTTCAAGAGGTAGGAGTTCTCCTATTTGAGTTGATTTCCATAACCATATATATATATATATATATATATATATATATATGGTTATGGAAATAGGAAATGAGTCTAGGAAGGACTTAAATTAAACTCTAGCTTAAATATGAGTTGTGGGAGTTATGTGAACCATTTCTTGGTACTTGATGATATTTGATGTATGTGGGCAATATTATGTGATGACATGATATCCTTGCCTTGAAGGTGTTTTACTAACTACCTTAGATAAGTGGATGTTGTTATTTTGATGCAAATAACATGTGTTGAGTTGTTGTGATATGTGGACATATGCTTATTAGTATATTGAGCATAATGATGAATTATGGAAGTTATGTGCATATAACATGAAATTCCATGGAATATGATTAATATTGTTCATATGACATTCATTACAATTTGGACATGAGGTTGCATCACATTTATGGGCTTAGGCATGAGTGTGGGTGTGTGTGCATGAAGTAATCAATACCACTTTTGGTAATTGATATGTACACTCGGAGATGTTGGATTGAAGACCCCTTGGAGTCGCATGTTGCATGAGAAAAACTTGTGTCGGGTATAGAAAGTAAGGCTAGACACTCCCTCGGGTGAAAAATCCGGTCACTTGGTTCATACACTTCCCTGAGGTAAAATTCTAGAAAAATGTAATAGCATACGGAGCCAGCAGTGTGATTTCAGAATCTGATACCCAATAAAGACACATGATTTTGTTGTATAAAATGTTTATTGAATGGGAAACATCCAACAATGGAAGGGTTTTCAAAGCATATGAATTGTATTTCAAAATGATCATTGGATGTTTTTCATCAATGATAAAGGTTTTACACTTGCATTGCATAGTGTGGCGAGGGCACCGGGTTATGATGCGTGAGTGAATCTCATTTCATTCATAGCATGACATGGGTGATTCCAACATGAATTGCATATTCTTGCATTGGAATGAATATTAGTTGTGTGTTGTTGCATGAGGCCATTGCATACGCATCTATGTGGGGAGTAGCCTCTGTAGGAAACTTTCTATTGAGTATGGCTCACCCTATATGGGACACATTTCAGGTGCAGGGCTCGTACCGAGGGAGGACACACATCTGGGGTCTTGAGAGTGAAGAAAAGCTGGGTTGCGGCTTTTAAACAAAGTTTTTTGTAAACTTATGTATAAGTTCCCTTTTGGACATGTAATCATGTAAATGGCTTGTAATAGAACTTGTAGATATCAAATTTTATATGAATAACATCATTCTGTATGTTTTGGATGGATTTGGAAATGTTTTGATTGGATTTGAAATGAAAAACTGATGAAAAAATGAAATTCTGGACAAAACCTACCGATAGCAGGCAATAACTATCGGTAGTTAACAGGTAGTACCTGTTTGGCAGACAATGACTACCGGTAGCCAACAGGTAGTACCTATACAGCAAACAATAACTACCGGTAGCTAACAAGTAGTACTTGTCCAGTAGGAGGAAACTACCGGTAGCTTACAGGTAGAACTTCTACCGGTAGTTATAACAAACACCTACCGGTAGCTCTTCCAAAAATTTGAAATTCTTAAGTTTCTTTCCCATGTTTTTAGGCTATGCATTCTTTGATTTCAAGGACACAAATGGACATCAAATGAGATATATTGGGGTGTATTGAACCCCGATTGGATTGAACGATTAAAGAATTTCGGGTTACTCGTGTGAGTTAAAGTCCCGATTAGTGGGATACTATGGGTGAGGTGTCGGATCAAACAACACTCATAGACACACCGCGAGTTGACGGGTTGTCAACGGGACCCCCAATTTTAGGAGCATCACAATTACAATACATTAAAATTACATTTCTCACCCCTTCCACAAGTCAAAAGATCTTCAATTTCATTTATATACACATCACCAATCAAATTCCATTTGTTTCCCGAGTATAAGACTTTGGATTTATCCAAGTTATGCTTGGGGAACCCATTATTATATCCTGAGGAAAAGTGATTTATAAAAAAGTGAGCAAGCATATTTGGCGCCATTGTTGGAGAACAATGGTGTATTTGAAATGTGATTGGGGATAGATGTTAGGTAAATCTTATGATTTTCATCATAGGCTTAGGTACGTTATTCCATTGTGAATATATTTGTATTTGTTTTGTTTGTTGTAGATTTGTATTTTGTTTAAGTAGGTTATATGTGGGCATGTGATAACATATATAGACTTATTAGACGAGACCTAGGAACATATAGAGATATGGATGACATAAATTTGAATGAGAGACAAAACCAAAGAGAGGGGCAAAACTCTGAAAATCTTGCAAATATTTTTTCATTGGTTCAGCCTATATGAACAATGTGAGAATATCTTCAGTCCCCAAGAAACGTTTCACCATCATGCATTATATTGCCTATTCAAGCTCACACATTTGTAATAAAACCTAGAATGCTTCAATTATTGCCTCAATTCTATGGCATAGATAGGGAAAAAAAACCCTTATTTGCACATCAAGGAATTTGAGGAGGGGGTTGGAACATTGCTTGATCAGAATGTGCACGAGGAATTGGCCAGGATACAATTGTTCCCATTTTCTTTAAAAGACAAGGCCAGAACTTGACTTAATTCTTTGAAACCTCAATCAATTAGGTCTTGGTCCGATATGCAAAAATAGTTATTGAAGAAATTTTTTCCAATACATCAAACTACATCTTTGAGGAAATTGATTCAAAATTTTTCAGAAAAAGAACATGAACATATTATGAGTGTTGGGAAAGATTTAAGGATCTTTTAAACTTTGATCCACATCATGGATTCGAGCCTTGGCAATTGGTTAATTTTTTCTACGAAGGAATTACCCCTACACATCGTC